TGTTGGAGTAGGTGTGGCCTTGTTGGAGTAGGTGTGGCCTTGTTGGGGTAGTAGGTGTGGCCTTGTTGGAGTAGGTGTGGCCTTGTTGGAGTAGGAGGTGTGGCCTTGTTGGAGTAGGAGGTGTGCTGCTGGGGTTGGGCCCGAGTTTCTCCCTCTGCCCACTGCTTGTGGATCAGGATGTAAAGCTTTCAGCTACTGTTCCAGTGCCTGCCTGTTTCCTGCCTTAATGATCAGAGACTAACCCTCAGAAACTGAGCAAGCCTCACTGAAATGCTTCCTTTTATAAGTGTTGCCTTGGTCATGGCGTCTCTTCACAGCCATAGAATAGTGACTAAGGCAGTGATCACGGATTGTTTTGAGGAACTGATCTACATAGATTCTGTTGAGAGAGATTGAGAGAGAGAGAGACAGAGAGAGAGAGAGAGAGAGAGAGAGAGAGAGAGAGAGAGAGAGAGAGAGAGAGAGAAGAAGAAGAAGGAGGAGGAGGAGGAGGAGTAAAGCAAAACACAGCAAGCCAATACCAACAAAACTATTTTCATAAAAATTTCTCAAAGATAGGCCGTGTATACGCATTCTTTACATTTTAGGCCACTAAAAGCTTATTATCTCAGGAGTAGAGACTGAACTGTGTAAAAGATCCTCTCCTCACTTCCCACATATATGCCACAAGAAGCTGTAATTACTCACCGGAGAGCCTGGCACACACTGTCCATTGGCATCATAGGAATAACCTATTGGCAAGTAAACAGAGCAGAGAGGTAGTGAAGGATTTAAAGGAGGTTCTCACTCTTGTTGTGTGTGCTATAAACCTGCCATTTAACTGCTGTGCAGTTAAAATGCAGCAGCATTAATTACATCCACAGCATTAGTGATTTTCATTCCCAAATATCCGCAGTGTGTTTGGCAGGGCTAGGGCTCCCACCAGAGCCTCTCACATGTTAGGTGCTCACTCGACCCTCCATTTCCAGCCCTCCACACTGTGTAAGCACTTCCAACAGAAACGCCCCCTTCCTCCTCACTTCTAGCCCCTAGCCCACCTCTTGCTTCTCACTTCTGTGGATTTTCCTGTTCCAGATTCTTCCCCTACAGGGAACTAAGCAACATTTGTCCTTTTGTGTCTGGCTCATTTTCTTAGTGCCTGGACCTGAGGTTTATAACATGGGTGGTACCAGGTACCAAACTCATGATTGCTTATGACCAAATCATATTTCATATATTTATGGACTACTTTAAAACGTCTATTCATCTGTTGGTGAGTTATGGGCTATTTCTACCTTTGAGCAATGATGCTGCCATGAATATTCATAAACACCTGTTCTAGTCTCCTTTCCACTTAGGAGGACTCTAGAAGGAGACTACTGGGTAATTTAAAAGAAGGCTTTATTTTACTATTTTTTTGTGCATGCATGCACATGTACACTCATGCGTGGAGGCCAGGGGACAGCCCGGCTGTCACTCCTTAGGGCACGCTATCCACACTTTTCTTTTCTTCTTTCCTTCACTTAGTTTTTTGTTTTTTTCAGACAAGGTCACTTATCAGCCTGGAGCTTTCAGCATACAAGACTGGTTGGATGAAACTAGAAAATATCATCCTGAATGAGGTAACCCAGTCTCAGAAGGACAAACATGGTATGTACTCACTTGTAAGTAGATACTAGATATAAAGCAAAGGACAATCAGGCAACAACTCACAACTCCAGAGAAGCTAACTAACAGGGAAGACCCAAAGAGGGATGCATGGACCTCCCTGGGAAGGGGAAATAGATGAGATCTCTATGAGTAAACTGGGGATGAGGGGTGGGCAATGGAGGGTAGGGGATAGGGGATGAGAGCATAAAAGAATGGGATGGTTGAACTGGGAGTGAGGGGGGGGGAATGCAATGAAAGACACATCATGATAGAGAGAGACTTCATGGGGATAGAGAGAAACCTGGTGCTAGGGAAGTTGCCGGGAATCCCCAAGGATGACCCCAGCCTGGACTACTAGCAATAGTGGAGAGGGTGCCTGAACTGAACTGGCTTGCCCCAGAGATCAGATAGGTCTGATCATCTAATTGTCATCACAGAACTTTTCTCCAGTGACTGATGGAAGCAGATGCAGAGATCCACAGCTAATCAGTAGACAGAGCTCCAGAAGTCCAGTCAAAGAGAGAGAAGAGAGCAAGTGTATCAGGATCATGAGGGGGAAACCCACAGAGACGACCAAACCAAACTAGTGGGAACTCATGAAAGTTAGATCAATGGCCGTGGAACCTGCATGGGACTGGACTGGGCCCTCTGGATGGCCAGACAGTTGTATAGTTTGATCTGGTTGGGGGGACCCCTGGTGGTAGGATCAGAATCCATCTCTGGTGCATGAGCGGGCTTTTTGGAGCCCACTACCTATGGTGGGACACCTCGTGCAACCTGAGGCAGGGGGAAAGGCTTGGACTTGCCTCTACTGGGTGTGCCTCCCCATGGGAGGCCTTGCCTTCTTATGGGAGGAAATGGGCGGTGGGTTGGGAGGGGAGGCTGGGCGGGCAGGAGGAGGGAAGAGGGGGATCTGTGATTGGTGTGTAAAATGAATGAAAAATTTTTCTTTAAAAAAAAAAAAAAGAGCCGGGTGGTGGTGGCACAAGTCTTTAATCCTAGCACTTGGGAGGCAGAGGCAGGCAGATCTCTGTGAGTTAGAGGCCAGCCTGGTCTCCAAAGCGAGTTCCAGGAAAGGCGCAAAGCTACCCAGAGAAACCCTGTCTCGAAAAACCAAAAAAAAAAAAAAAAAAAAGAAGACATGGTTGTTAACTGTGGTTGGTTGATATACTATACAATAGACTCAAAAATGTACTCTTTCTCAATGAAAAATTTCTACTCTTTTACTACTATCCATCTGATTTCATATTAAAATAGCCAAGCATATTATTTTTCTTCAAGATATTGGGGACCCCTTGAGGTCAGGGACTAAATCTTGTAAATCTGGTCTTCTTAAAGCACGAAACAATGGATTGTATCTACAAGGTGCTAAATAAATGTGTTTCTGTTAGATTATAATCTAATCACATTATTTCTCCCATCTCTTCCCCCTCCAGATATTCCTATATAACCTCCCTATTTTCCTTCAAATCCGTGGCCTCTTTTCTCATTAATTGCTATTATATGCATATATATATATTCGTATATACATATATAAAATTCCTAAATGGAACCTGTTGAATTCATGCAGTGTTACTTGTCTATATGTTTTTAATGCTCTTTGGCACTGGACAACACACCAGTGTGCTCCTCCCTGGGGAAGAGCACCTCTCCCGCCCCCAGCTTGGTTAGTAAAGGGTTGTGAGAACAGAAGGTAAAGATCATTTCAGAGGCTTTGTAGATGCAGTTATATGTGAAAGCAGCCGGCCAGGCAGACTCTCTCAGACTCAGGGAGAGCAGGAAAGCACACATACCGTAGGTCTTCCCATTGATGGAGCATTTGTTGAAGATCATCACATTCTCAGTCAGAGTTCCTGTCTTGTCAGAGAACACATATTTAACTTGGCCGAGTTCTTCATTGAGGGTGGTAGTGCGTGCCTGTGCTGGGGTGTTCTTTGGTGCATAATACATCTGTCGATCCCAGTTGATATAGTAACTGTTTCCCAGTCTTATTATTTCAACACTAAGGAGAAAGCAAGAAAAGAAGGGTCCTGGTCAGAGCAGGACAAGCAAATATATTATTTTGGTTTCCTTCTTATAGGTCCATGATAGATGAGACTCTGCATGTAAAAAGAGTATCTTCCCTGGGGACCGACCTTCTGAGGACTCTTCCACCCACACTAGCCAGCCCATTGTCACTCTGACCTGGACTACTATAATGCAGCTCTCTCACCAGGACTCTGACACAGCTGAATAATTTGTCTGAGACACACTTTGCTTCCTCTCATCTTCTGCAATGTATCCAGAAAAAGTCAATTAAAAATACCTTTGGAGTAACAGTTAACTTACAAAGGTTATGTGGGTGTAATTAAAAATGTTATTACTGCCGGCGCTGGTGGCACACGCCTTTAATCCCGGTACTCGGGAGGCAGAGCCAGGCAGATCTCTGTGAATTAGAGGCCAGCCTGGTCTACAGAGCAAGATCCAGGATAGGCACAGTATTTATTAGAAAGATCTTGTTTGGGTCTTTATTGCTTAGGATAAAATCCAAACTCTTTTGCTTGTAATTTATGTTCTTTTGGCTCTAACACCTTGGTCCAATTTTGAGAAAACTTCCACACCTTGTACCTGTGGACAGCCCACTTACTGTATTCTTTCCTCACTTATTTTTCAAATAGAGTTGAGGATTACCTTTCCTGCAAACTGTTGTAAGCCTCCCTGGGCAGAACTAATACATTCCTCCTTAAAGTGTTTGTAGTACTCATGCATATTTTGATTACAGAATTTGTGAATTGTACCATAATTATTTATTGGTTTCCACAATACAAGCAAGCTTCTCTAAAAAAGCTATGCCTTATTGCTCAGTTTTCTATCTCTAACACCTAGTAGAGGACTTGGTACATAATAGGTAGTCAGAAACATTATTAAATAAAGTAACTCAGTTATGGAGAATGCTTTCTGGGTTGGGATATCAAAGTTCATGTTTTAGGAGACTTGGAAAAGAGGACATGGATACACATACACACACACACACACACACACACACACACACACACACACACAGAGCCAAAAATTAGTTCTTTAAAAAGATAAATAAAATTTATAAATACCTACCCACACTAATCAAAGGAAAAGGGAAAAAACTCAAATTAATAAAATTAGAGATGAAACAGGGACTGTTACAGCACACTCCAGTGAAAGCCAGAGAAACATTATGAAAAATATTTACCTATTGTCTTAGTAACTTTCTATTTTTTTTGAAGAGACACTATGACCAAAGGCAACACTTATAAAAGAAAGCATTTAATTGGGGGCTTGCTTACAGTTTCATAGAGTTAGTCCATTATCATCATAGCAAGAAGCATGGCAGCAGGCAGGCAGGCATGGCCCTGGAGCTGAGAGCTTTACATCCTGATCCACAGGCAGCAGGGACAGAAAGAGACACTGGGTCTGGCTTGGGCTTTCCTCTAACAAGGCCACACCTACTCCAACAAGGCCGCATCTCCTAATCCTACTAAGCATTCAAATTTATGACCCTATGGGGGCCATTCTTATTTAAACTACCATATCTATTTTCCAATCTCTCTCTCTCTCTCTCTCTCTCTCTCTCTCTCTCTCTCTAATGGGAAAATGTATTCTGAGTTCTGCAGAGCTGATATGAGAGTGAATGTTTAGAACCCACGTCATTGGTAAGGAAAGGCTGCCTGGTGTAGTTAAGCAATACCAAGTTTGTGTGTCTTTTTACTAATTGTTTCATGTGTTTCCCTGTCACTTACAGGTTACTTAAGGGCACAGGCTATTATCCTTTTATATAAATCACATACTATCTAGCACAGTGTTCTAGACATAAAAGACATTGATGCAGTTTTTAGATACTCCTCAGAGTGTTTTATACACCAAGACTGTGGAAAGAAAAGTGATTAAGAATACATAGTGAGCTAGGAATGGTAGAGCATGCCCAAAATCCCAGTACTGGGGCTGAGGCAGGAGGATGTGAAGTTTGAAGTCAGCTCGGGGAACATAGCAAGCTCTAGTCTAAAGAAGAAGAAGAAGAAGGAGGAGGAGGAAGAGGAGGAGGAGGAGGAGGGGAGAGGAGGGAGGGAGGGAGGGAGGGAGGGAAGAAAGAAAGAAAGAAAGAAAGAAAGAAAGAAAGAAAGAAAGAAAGAAAGAAAGAAAAAGAAAGAAGATAGTACGTTCTTTCTGAAAGATCATGCTCTAGTTAGTTATTGCAACAGGAATAACGTAGCAAGCTCTAGTCTTTAACAGAAGGAAAAAGATAGTATGTTCTTTCTGAAAGATCATGCTCTAGTTGGTTATTGCAGCAGGAGTTTACAGTCATCCCCTCCCCTGAACACGACAATCCCTAGACGCCTACCTGACATAGAGGGAAATGGGAACCATGGTGTTGAGGACTATGAAGTAGGACCAGAAAACCAGGGCAGAACTTGTAGCTGATGAAGCGATGTAACGCTGCCATGGGAGAAATGCCTGGAAGAAGTAGCCTTTGTGGCTCTCCCAAATGCCATGTCCAATGGACAGCAGAAGGCACATTGCACCCAAAGCCAGGAAGATCTGTGGAGAAAACAATACAGAATGCAAAATATGAATTAAATGAACATCTAAGGACTGCGCTTCTTCATCCCACCTTCTGGAGTCTTAGCTCTCCTGAAGTGTGTTTCCTTGGAGACAGGGAGACACTAGAGCAGTATAGGACGGAGAAGGAAGCCCAGCAGGGGTCTTCCATGTGAGTTTGAAGGTAGGTGCTAAAAAGTAGAATACAGTAAGTACTGACTGATAGGAATCATGCCAACTCTTTTACATGCTGCTTAATATTGATGACAACTCTGACAGACGAGGAACTTGATATTCAGAGTGGGAGAATGTTCTACCACAAGCATTTAGATGCCGAATAGAAGAAACAGGTTCAAAACAGTGCCAGAGTCCAAGTTCTTAACTGCTCCAGTAGTGATGTGGGGGAGGGGACTGTCACTTTAACACACTGAATTGTGTGGCTTTGGCAGCAGCTGGAGAGAGGATGGTGAGGAACCTAGAGAATAAGGAAGATGGAGATCACGTGAGCAGTTCAGAATCCGCTCAAGTGGGAAGGTGAGGAAGATGGAGGTCACGTGAGCAGTTCAGAATCTGCTCAAGTGGGAAGGCGGACCTGGGTCCACTGAACCTACAGCCCCTCAAGGGCAGTGACTAGAAAGAATCAAAGTCTTGGCGTGCTGGCGACTGACGCCGACTTGATTCCTTCAGGCTTACATTCAGGAGGGCTGCAGCTGCGGCAGGTGGGAATCCCACTGGTAGTGTCTTGAGACCTCCATATTGCTCTTCACAACGGCTGTGCCAATTTATAGTCCACCTTATAGTAGAGCTTAAGAATTCCTTTTTCATGGTGTCCTTGCTATTTTTTTGTGAGCCACCATGTGGTTTCTGGGAATTGAACTCAGGACCTCTGGAAGAGCAGTCAGTGCTCTTAATCTCTGAGCCATCTCTCCAACCCTTCCTTGCTATTTTTTGTTTGCATGATGATAGCCACTCTGACTGATGTGAAATGGGGTCTCAGGGTAGCCCCCATCCCCTAATATAATTTGATTTACATTTCCATGATGGTCAAAGATACATATAGATAGTTCTTTAGACTTCACTCTTTAATTTTTATTTTACACGTTACAGATGTTCTGCCTCCACATATGTATGTGTACTATGTACATGTCTTGTTCAGCAGAAGCCAGAGATGTCATCAGACCTCCTTGGAGTGAAGTTATGGACAGTTGTGAGCTGCAGCGTGGGTGCTGGGAATTGAACCCGGGTCCTCTGGAAGAGCAGCCGGTGTTCTTAGCCACTGAGCCATCTCTCCAGCCTCCAAACTGTGCATTTATATTGCACTATTTATCTAGTTGTTGGATCAGAGGCTGCAAGTGATTTCCGGACAGACCATAGGAGTCGTTGACATGGTTCTGCTGCTGCTGCTGAGGGGGTCATATGCTGCTCTGATTCCTGACTCCTCTCCGAAAATTGAGAATCTTCTCCTTTTCCTGCTTCTTTCTCCTTTTCCTCCTTTCTCTTCCATATTTCTCCTCCTCCTCTCCTATACCCCTTCCTTTTGAGACATGGTCTTGCTATGCAGCTCTGCTGGCCTGGAATTCACCGTAAGTTCCAGGTAGTTATCAACTCACGATCCCTGGCTACAACCTTTTGAATTTCTTCACATATGGTTGACATGCAACCACTTAATACTAAATGTATTTCTTTATCATGTTAAAATGTTCATGCATGTATACGCTGTATGTGGACGTATTTCCCTCCTATCTCTGATGCCTGCCTTTCTCACCTCTCTCTCCTTATCCCCTCACTGGCTTGGAGCTCACTAGTTAGGTCAGCCTGGTTGGCCAGCAAATCCCTGAGACCACTGAATGAAACTTACAACAGCTAGTGGGAGTTGATGTGGATGCCTCCCCTCAATGGACTTACATGCTTCACAACTGCAGTCATCTACATACTTACATACATGATTCTTACAGCATCTTACAGACACACTGGATTCTCAGTGTATTTGTCTCTCATTGGGGAGATAAAGCACACTTGGAAGAAGTACCTTAAGGAGGGATTTATTCTGACAGTTTAGGCATGCAGATCGTCATGGGTGGGGAAGGCTCCATGCTGGCACTGTACATCAAACTGCTCACATTCTGGCTCACAGACTGGGCAGCAGGGGCTGGAGCGGAAGTGGAGCCAGGCTGCAACCCTCCAGCTGTCCCAGTGGTTCTTTCTTCCAAGCAGAGGAAGGTTCCATAGTGTCCCCAAACCACAGGGGACAAAGCAGGGCACAAAGTGCTCAAGTGAGCCTCTGGGGACGTTTCACCCACAAACCGTAACATGCGATACATGACCTCATGAGTCATAGACTTGTCTTTGCCATTTTCCCTGTGGAATTGTATATTTGCCAGTTTTCTGTTACAATTAATGAATTTGATTTTTATTGTTTATATGTACAATAAAGCTGTAATTAATAATGTGAAAATATTCTAAAAGTTAAAAATCCCTTCACAGATGCCAAGTACCAACTGCCCTTCAGACGGAAACACGAACAGCTGAGTTTGTCTAGGCTGACAGGAGATGCCCTGCTTTGAAGATGACCTTTGATCAAGTGACCTAGCCTACTGGGTGACATCACATGCTCCTGATGTTGTTGAGAATATCACTTTCCTTCATTACTGACTGTGATAATCTACTTCATTAAAAAATCAGGCTACGGAGCGCTGCTTACTGCTAAGGCTCAGTGCTCAGCAGTGGAAGAAGACAGTGGATGCTTGTCCCTAGTCTTAACGCTCAACAAGCCGTCCTAGTTTTTTACAGCTGGATGTATCTAAAAGGACTTTGAAAAGGAACTGTAATTTTAAAACTTTCCTTATTTCTAATTTTGCAGTGCTGGAGATTCCATCCAGAGCCTTAAACAGACGATGTGAGTACTTGACCACCGAGCCCCAGCCCTAAGACACTTCTCATAGAAAAAGAGAAAAGGCAGTTTAATTTAGATACCGAGGAGAAGTATATAGAAAGCAAAGGCATTTAAGATGTTTTTAGATTCTAACAATAGAATGAAAACTAAAACAAAAAGCTAAGAAATTAAGTGTAGATATCACCAGAACAGCTCAGCTATGCAAAGAAGTTATTTAAATAATAAAGTTAATTTCCATCCAACAGGAACTGGCTAGAAAGGACATAATTATTACTAGTCTTCAATGTAAGTTTCTATTGTTAAAGTTGATCATTATATATTATAGTGCTTTAGATTTTGTTGATTTTATTTCATGATATAAAATTTTAAATTAACATACAAAGTACTGCATTTCCCTGTGGCATGTTCATACCCATGCATCATTGTACTCTGTTCCAATCTGTCTCCCTCTGCTTTCTCCCTCCCCCATCCTGACTGGCTGGTTCCTTTTCCTCCCCATCAATGGTTCTCCCTTTAGCTTGCACATCACATGTAATCCTATCACCTCCTTTTCTCTCCATCTCTTAGGACGTCTTTTCCCAGAGCTGGAAAGATGCCTCTGTGGCTAAAAGAACTTGTTGCTCTTTTAGAGAACCCAGGTTTGATCCCCAGCACCCACACGTTGACTTACATCATGGAGTAATCATCCATTACTCCAGTTTCAGGGGATCTGATGCCCTCTTCTGAGCTCTGAGGGCACCAGGCATGCATGTGGTGCACATGCATGTGGGCAAACACTCATACACATAAAATTAAAATTAAAAAAAGAGACTCCACCAGGAAACTTCTACAGCTGATAAACATTTTCAGCAAAGTAGCAGAATACAAAATTAACACACAAAAACAACAGCCTTCATAATACAGATGACACACATACTGAGAAATCAGGAAAATGGCACCTTTCACAATAGCCCCCAAAAATAATACCTTGGGATAACTCTAACCAAGCAAGTGAAAGATTCGTATAATAAAAGACATTGAAGGAAGAAGCTGAAGACATCAAAAGATGGAAAGATCTCCCATGCTCATGGATCAGTAGACTTGGTAGAAACCTAGTGCAGTGGAAACTTCTGGAATCTATGCTGGTGGCCCTAGTGAGGACTCCTAGTAATGGAGGATATGGAATCCAAATGGCCATTTTTTGTTTTTGTTTTTGCTTTTGTTTTTTGAGACAGGGTTTCTCTGTGTAGTTTTGCGTCTTTCCTGGAACTCACTTTGTAAACCAGGCTGGCCTCAACTCACAGAGATCCACCTGCCTCTGCCTTCCAAGTGCTGGGATTAAAGGCATGCGCCACCACCACCCAGAGGCCATTTTTTGTAGTCAGGCAAGGCTTCTAGTGGTGAGACCGGGTTACATTCAGTTGAACTGTTGGTCAAGGAGGTTCTGTGGAAATCCCTAAACAACCCAGGCTAATACTAGGACAGAGGGCTGCTCCCTGAGAACTGACAGCAGGCCCTGTTGCTGAGGACAACTTCCACACAGTTCACTGAACAGAGAAAGGTCAAGTTGGTGCAGACTGGAGCTTCAACCCTATAGTCTAGCCTCTTTGGCCCAAGAAGGTACTCTGCAGGCTATGGAAAGAGAAACCTAGATACTAACCCAGCCACAAAACCCTCCAACTACAATCTGTCCTGAGTGCAAGACAGATTGTCCTGAGTGCAAGACAGTACTGGAGCCATGGTTAGGCAGAACTTGTGGGAGTGGCCAACCAGCGTCTGGTTTGAGGCCCATGCCACAAGAGGGAGCCCATGCCCTACCTTGCCTAGAGGGCCAGGAACTGGAAACTGGATAAACTGAGAACTGTCCTACCACAAGACCTAGCTCTACCACTCTTGGGCATATACAAAAGGACTCTACATCTTAATACAGTGATACTTTTTCATACATGTTTATTGATGCTCTACTCACAAAATCCAAAAATTGGAAACATTCTAGATGTCCATCAACTGATGTGTGGATAATGAAAATGTGGTACATTTACATAATGGAGTATTATTCAGCTATTAAGAAAAATGAAATCATGGTGTTTGCAGGTAAGTAGATTAGCAAAAAATCATCCTGAGTAAAGTAACCCAGACCCTAATAAACCAATACTCTCTGTTTTTTCTTATATATGGATGTTAACTTTGGATGTGTGTTTCAATCAGAAAATCTACAGAGGTTAGGGAGCTGGTGAGGGAGCAGGGGGGAGGAGGGAGTCGTCCAAGGAAGGGGAAATGGAAATAGTGTAATCAAGATTTAAAGGGGAAACCAGGATAGGAGCATGAAGTGGAGGGGAGGATGGAGAGCAGGGCAAGAGCAGGGAATATGGGCAGAGACAACTAGCAGTAAAGGCCTTTTCAAAAGCCATATGTAAGCCTACGACATGGACGTTCCTAAACACACACATATATGAATTTTAGTACAGTTCCCGTATAACGAGGGAGACAATATTCCAACTGTGTATTTTATGCCAAGTAAAACCTCCAATGTGGAGAAGGAGTTACATCTTGTTGAGTCATTGGCCAAAGGGGCCCATAGACGCCCCCTAACTTCACAGGCTATTGCCAAGGCTATTGGTTAACCTCCACAACCTGATGGTAAGGCCCGACTGCTGAGGACACCACTTACATACGTCATTAAACATGGGGAAATGAAGCTGGTGCCCATGAGAAGTTTCACCTCTACTGACTAGCATTCCTGGTTCTGGAAGGTACTTTGCACACTACCAGAGGGAAGAAGCAATCATCAATATTACCCAGCTACATGCCCTGCGGCCTACAACAGCACACGCCTGCAGGATGTATCCGTGTAACAGTGGAACACTGCCGTGGGAATGACCAGCCATTTTTAGAAAACAGACTTAAGGCCACTCCATGAGATGGAGCCCATATCTGAAACTACTAGAGCGGCATGAACCCAGGACTAGCTAGGTCGTGGTCCCTAAAGACAAACCTACTACTATTATTCTGCTAAAGGAGCACAGTAATAGGATGACTCCTAACTACAAATTCTGTTCCTACAGCTCAGCGCATCACTCATCCTTCACAGAAGCTGCTTCTTTCGTCGATGAGGATTAACACAGAGACACACAACTGGAAAATACTCAGGAGATGAGACTTTGGAGCATTCACCCCAAAATGGGAGATCATGGTCAAGGCAAAAGATAGTAAGAGCTAGAAGTGGTGGAGGACTCCAAGGACACAACAGAGCTGATACACACACTTTAACTCACAGAGACCGTGACAGCATGCACAAGACCTGCAGAAGTTCAAACCAGACAAAACCCCAGCACAGAAAGTGGACACAACGTCCCACCCCTAACGGGAGCTATTTCCAGTTGATGCCACTGGAAAAGGGTAAACAGCTTTCTCCAGTGGAATGCCCGGGGGTACATCGACCTTGTGCCGGGGCAGGACCTATGCCCAGGGAGAGCTGGCCAACATCAAGTGGACCCCATGCTCTTTTTGTGTGTGCAGTTTCTGTTCTGTTTTGGTGTTTTTCTCTTATTAGTTTTTCACTTGTTGTGATCTTTATTTTTTGCTTTATTTTTATTTTTGAGAGATGAGGAGGAGCATGAAGTGGAGTGGGTAGAGAGGTGGGGAGGATCTGGGAGGAGTTTAGGGTGGTAAATAATATTTTAAAATTGTATGTACATTTTTAATTAAAACTAAAAAATACCTTTTCCCTCTCTCATGACTCCCTTTATTAGTGATTTTCAGATTTTTTTTTTTTTAGCAGAAGAGCCTCTATTTTTCCAATTGAAATATTATAGAACAGTGTAATGAGAAGCTGCTCTACTTGGAAGCAGAACCTCAGACAAGGCCAGAGCAAATGCTATCGGATCTTCTCCTGCCTCTGCAGCAGACGTAAGACTCCTCTGAGGAATGCAGCTTTAAAACTACCAGTTCAAATAAGGTGTTCTGTTAGTGTCTATGACGGGCTATTAAAGGTAATGATCAAAACTGATATGAGAAAGTATCTCCATTTCTAAAGTAGGGCCCTTGATTAACTCTGGTCCCACTTATCAAAGGCAACAGTTTCGTAATTGCCATTATCTTGAATAGAAGGGGCAACCCGGACTCTCTAGTCATTGAGTCTGTTCCTTCCTTGCTCACAACTTAGCTTGTGGGGCCATGACACTTCTTGTGACTTTCAAACAACTACATTCTGATTTGGAAGTGCCAGCCACTGCTGTGGATGTGCGTCTACGCAAAGAAACCGGGGAAGGTGTTTAACTTACCCAGACCACAAGGACATTCATGAGATGGTCTATGTGTGTTCGTTTGAAGGTGGACTTGCCGCTGTTCTGCATTAATTTGGTGTCTGGCCCTGAGCAAAATGGAGAAATCCAGATCTTAGAGTCACTGAATATACTCAGAGCTTGAAATTGTGTTGACGTATGGCTTTATGTTCACTTGTTCGAACCTCTCATGTAAATCCAATCAACGGTACACCAAAAGGAACGTGTTTGCTAAGTGTCCACACTGACTCCCCTCTTACCAGCAGCACCTCAGCTGTCTCAGTTCTACCGAGGTAGACCAAACAGCAGTTACCTGAGCGTCCCTTGTCACCACCTGGCTTATTTAGCTTGGGAAAGGCATTTTCTGATAGGAGGCACCTCTTGCCTTCTTTTGAGGGAAGCCATTGCTGAGTCAGGCTATATTTAAAAGTCTGAGAATAGAAGAAAGGAAGTAGGGATGATGGGGATTTTTTTCTGAGGTGGAAGCTGGGGAGTTGAGCCTTCTCTGTGGCTGAGAGACACAGATGCCATGCTCCTTTATACCCACAGACAGTGAGTAAAAGAGCCGTGAATAGCTATGGAACTGACTTGCAAACAATGAGTTAGAGATATTGCTAGCTGTGTGAGAGAAAATATTCATAAGGGGTTAGGAAGAAACTGTAAGTAGCAATTTCTCTGGCCTTTTATCATCTGACTGCCGTTTCTACGTGTGCTCTAATGAAGGAGCGCCACTCGTGTGCTCCTGAGGGGGAGCTGGCTTTTCGGCTCTGTGAGCCAACACTGAGAATACACAGCAGAGGCGGCGGCAGCGTCCTAGCCTCTGCAGCATTCCTTCACAGGCTGGGGTTTTTGAGAAGTTCGAGGCGGAGTGTGGCAGCTAAGGGATCATATTTCCAGGGTCTGTAGAAAGACTGACCCTACTCTCCCTGGCTTTCAAGAGGGATGTAGAGATCATGGCAGGACTCCAGCACTGCACATCAGGAACAGCGAACCAAGTTTGCACTAAGTGTGTCAGGATGCTCTTTGTAATAGGAGACTCCTGGACGGAACTCCCCAAAGTTCACTGTTACATTAACAAAGCAAGAGTCTGCTGGGAACTAACCCATGCTGGCGTTCGTATTGCTTTGGGGAAAACCTTAGCTGAACAAATGAACTATCTTGGAGTGGTTTTCCTTTGTGCGGGTAACTGCTGACCTAGTGAAGGAAGTGAGTCCACCTTACATCATTTGGGTTGGAAACCGAGCAGCTTAGAAGCTGCCATTCCACATCAAGAACCAATAAACAAGTTCTGCCAGCGCTTCCGTGGACTCTTAAGCTACTCCAAAGCGTATTTGTCTTATTTTCCATAGAAGGAGAACTAGGAGTCTCATGTTCAAGAGTGGATGCTCTAGAAAAGACCTCCAAAAACCCAATTTTAGTAATATTCTCTACAGTAAATCTTTCTTTCTTCCTACTGTGGTTATGGTTATGTTAAGCCTACATTTCAAATATCTCCTAAAAGCTTAGTTGTTGAAAGATTGGTCTCCAGTAGATGGCGCTATCTGGGGTGGCAGAAACTTGACGGTCTGGAACTTGGGTGGAAGAAAGCTATTAGGGGCGTGTTCTTGAAGGTTCCTCCTCTCTCTCTTCTGCGGCTCAGCTACCATGACAAGAGCGGCTTTGACCCATCATGTATTCCCACTATGATGTTTGGCCTTGCTCCAGGTCCAATGCTAGGGTCAAGCAACCCTGGACTAACACCTCTGAAACTGAGTGAAAAGTAAGTCTACCTTTAAAGTATTTGCTTAACATATTTTATCACAGGGACGGAAAGGAACGAGGTTATCGATGTCTGTTGCCACTAAGGGTGCAGAGTGGAGCAGAGGCTCTTCCCCACCATGCCACGGACCAAGGAAACCTCTCACTACATACTGTGGGCTGTGGTTCTAAATGACATCTCGAGATTGGCCACTCACATGGTGCTTTTCTCTTACATGAAGTCTCCATGTCATATTTTATGTTCTTTTCCATAATGAGCACCATCTACACTCCCTTTTTACGAGAGTAATCTCTGTGCAATCTTCCATTCACATGCTAATTCTGTTGTGCTTTATCTATATGAACACCCTCTCCTGTGTCCACACATGGCTGGGAAGTCTCATGAATACCTTAGGGTGTTGAAACACAAAGCCGCGCTCTAACAAAGGAGGAGCTGCTGTGTTGGGAGCACACGTCTGGAACAAAGTCACTTTCCCCTCCAGCCACCTCTTAGTCCAGCACTCAGTCACCGTTCTGATATATGCTTGAATATTGTATCTGAATCCTTAGAACTAAATACCCACAACGGGGTGGTGAGCAGGCTCTAACAGGCTGGGTCTGGCTAGGGCCGCAAGGACGCATACCAGTATAAATCACCAAACCGTAACACCAATCCGTGTTCCTGATGATGCAGCCCCGGAGCAGTAGCTTGTCATGGCCCAGGAAGTAGTCTTCCCCCAGATAGGTCAGGACTCCGGAAAACTTGTCCAACTTGTTATTGGGAGGCTCGCATCGAATTTCTCCTGCAGAGAAGTAAAGGAGGAAGAGTGCTAGCTCTGTAACCTTGGGAGAATGCTCACGGAAAAGCAGGAAAACAACATACAATGTATAATACAACAACATATACTACAACATGGTTTTTCTCAGCTGCCCCCTATCCTGCACTAAATTCCTTTAGAAAGGACAAAATATTTCAGGGCACCAAAATAAACAAAGCGATAATTCTGTATTGCCATGGATCATCAGAGAAACTGCCATCAGTATTGCCAGATCAGCATCAGTGAAGCTGAAGAAATGAAAATATTACTCTAAAGTGAACCTACTATTTCTTTCCAAAATAGAAATAGTTGACTTTTTCCTGATTAGTAAATATATCCTTTGTAAATATTTTAAACTTTATTGGCTTTATTTACTTTGCATGTCAGAGGAGGCAGGAACATATGCAAATGGTGGATGTGGGGACCAGAGGGCAACATGTGGAAGTTGGTTATCTCCTTCCAGCATGTGGGTCCCAGATATCAAACTCAGGCTTGGAATATTCTCTGAGCTATCTTGCCAAATCTCCTTTGTAAATATCCATAACATGCTAAAATAACCAAGAATTTTTTTTGAGGCAGGGCCTTACTATGTATCCCTGGTTAGCCTGGAACTCACTATGTAGACGAGGCTGGCCCCAAGCTCAGAGAGTGCTGGGTTTAAAGGCTTTTGAGAAGCATTGTCATCTACTTATTGTCTAGAGAAAAGTGTTATTAGCCTTTGATTATATACTAGAAGCTTTTTATCCCATGCACGAATGCAAACATTTCCCCCAAACATGTTTACGTTATATGTATACGCTGGCTTTTGTAATCTATAATTTTCCCTATTATGTTGTGTCTGTTTTTTCCATGTCAAAAATTATCAACTTGCATATTGTTTAAAATGAACTGTAAAGAGTTCCTGTATGGATGTGCCATACTTTATTTAGCTGATCCTCTGCTGATTAGCTAAATAAAGGTGTGGGCAGGCAGCCTACTTCCCGGCTCACCATTAAAGGCAGACAGCAGCTCCAGGTTATCCTCCATTTCACTGGTCACCGAGATGGCCTGCTTCACTTTCAGGTTGGTTTCCCTAGAGTAAAGGTCACAGGTTCATCAAATGTATGGGACAGAAACACAACCAGAGCACAGGACCAGCTTGTGCTTCTCATTAGGTTTTAGAAAATAAATGTTGCCAGCAGAATGTGGGCTAAGGGCTTGAGTTGTTTGAGTACCTCACACTAGTTACTCCTTGTTCTCATGGGCAGTAGGCGGAGAGAGAACCGACTCCCTGTCACTCTTCCTCTCATACCCTGCAACAACTCACCCCTCGACTTTAACCAACACAGAGAAGTGGCTGTTAGGAAAGCTAGAGGGAAACCCGGAGGTGGCATGCATCTGCTTCCTTCAGGAACATGGAGCAGGTTCTGGTGAGAAGCTGCTCATGCCTCTGAGGAAATATAGTTCTGAGTTCATAAATATTTACAAGGTCCATGGAAAGATCACAATTAACCATTTTTGGATGCATAATGCACAGCGATAGTAACAACTAGAGATTTCAAGAAGCTTTTGGATGAGGTATTAGTCAGGGCTCTTTAGTGGAACAGAACTGAGGGAAAAATACACACACACACACACACACACACACACACACACACACACACACACACGAAGCAGATTTATTAGAGTGGCCGACACACTGTAGTCCAGCTAGTCCAACAATGGCTGTTTCCCAATGGAAAGTCCAAGGGTCAAGTGCATGAGTCTGGCTGTGTGGTCTTCAGTAGACGCTGGAATCCCAAAGAAGTAGGTTCCAATCCCAGAGAATTAGGAGTGAGGGCAAGCAGGCAAAGGGGAGCAACTCCTTCTTCCATGTCCTTTATACAGGCTGCCACCAGGTGTGGCTCAGATTAAAGGTCGACTTTCCTTCCTCAAATGGTTTAATTAAGAAAAATCCCTCTTCCTCACAGGTGTACCCAGCTGCTTGGGTTTTAGTTCATTCCAGATGTTGTTAAGTTGACAACCAAGAATGGTTATCACAGGCACAAAGAGGAATGTAGGCTGATACAAAACTCCATGAAACAAGTCTCTGAAATGGCCTCCATATTCCCAAGTAAGACCTTAGCTTACTGTGAGTAAATAAAGGTCCACTTTAATTTCTTTTTAGGACACAATTCTTCTTTGTTTAAATTGCCCCCTAGAAATGTTGCAACTCCATTCTGAAATTTTGCAGTCCTATGACTCTCTTTCATGCTAGTCAACATCTCGGGATACAGGTGTCCCTCACTGACGTCAGGCAATTGGTTCAAGGACCCCACACGAACACCCTAATCCATCATTTGCTCAGCTATCTTTTATAAAATGGGCCAGCATTTGCATATAACCAATAAACACTCTCTTCATACAATGCAAATGCTATGTAAATACCTGTTCTATCTTATTTTTAGGGAATACTGATGATAAAAAACAATCTGTGCATATTCAGTACAGAGGAACCTTTTTTTTTTTTTTCAAATATTTTCAGTCTGCAATTCTTAAAGACAAGGCATGGAACTCACAGACAGGGAGGGCAGACTGACCCCAGTTTAGAGATAGAGAATGTGGGGTTCATTTTTCCAATCCTGTGCCTGACGGATGCTCATTATTGCTGCCCAAGCTCAGACTTAGACCTGAGGGTCCCGAGGCTGTGGCTTATTGTCTTTCCTCACTTGGGTCTCTTTAGTCTTCTGGCACCTAAACCACTACTATCACCTGGATATAAAACTAGCTCGCTGCATCATGCTTGCCCTCTAAGTGGCTGGGCTTTCTTACTGCAGTATCAGGAGAAAACACTTACCCATCCAGGTCCGCTGTTTCAATGTATGTCAGGCCGCAGGGCTCACTGCTGGAGAGTAACAGTATGTCTGCCTGTAATCAGAAAAGCCAGAGAAGAGGAACCCAAGGCTGGCCCCTGGCCTACAGTGGGATGGAGAGCAGCCCCTCCCTCCGGGACAGATGTTCACTCGAAGAACTTGGCAGACTCTTGGTTACTCTCATTATCCGTGACCCATCACTGCTACCACACACGTCTCTCCAAGTTGCTTCATTTTACCTGAAGCTGTGACAGGAGATAGACAAGAACGAGCTTCCTGCCGGAGGAGCCCGTGACACCAGGGCAAAGTGAGGCCCCTGAAGGCTGTCAAGAGGGGTGGAGGCAAACAAGCTCCAGGGCTCCCAACCTCAACTCAAGGAGAGAAAGGAAGGCAGGGCCAGAGGAGGTACTCACTGTGACAGGGTGATCGTTTTCTAGTTTTATTATGTCTCCCACTTGAACATTCATCCATTTGTCCTCCTCAACCCTGTAAGAAAATGGGCCTTGACTTTGTGCTCTGAGAGTTTCCCCACCATTCTGACAACTAGACAAAACAAAGCAAAAAGAAACAGGAAAGGCCAAGATGAATGGAGACACATCTCAGGAGGGCCACATTCGTTTGGGCAGTCAAGAGCAAGCTCTGTTTCTTTTGACACATCTCTTTCCCCAGCAATTAGCTTTCTTCTTCAAAGGCAGCCATTATATTTTAAAAACTTTCCTAGAAGCCAGGTGGTGGTGACGCACATCTTTAATCCCAGCACTCGGGAGGCAGAGGCAGGCAGAGCTCTGTGAGTTTGAGGTCAGCCTGGTCTACAAAGCAGGTTCGAGGCCGGCCAAGGCTACACACAGAAAAACCCTGTCTTGAAGAACAAAAAACAAACAAACAGAAAAACAAAAACAAAACAACAACAAAAACCTTTCCAAGAAAATATCAACTCATAGAATCTTCTGTAACACAAATACTTCAAAGCTACACAGTAAGGTTTTTAATCCCAGTATCTGCGAGGCAGAGGCAGGAGAATTTGGGTGAGTTCAAGGCCAGGATGTTCTATATAGTGAGTTCCAGGCCAGCCAGGGTTTACACAGTGAGACTTTGTCTCAAAAAATAAAGTTAAACAGCAGATACCTTACTTTCTTCATTTTTCATTTAATAACACAACTTAGAGGACATCTATAGATGTGGCTCATTCTTTTATTAAAAAGCTAAAGTGTATTCCATCATGTGGCTTTGCTAATTTTATTTTGTTCTCTCGTTGGGTTACCGTTGACCCTTCAGATCCTCATTTCCTATCAAAGGAGCCGGCAGTACGAGCAGATTCCACAACACTGGCTCTCCTCCCTTTCCCCTCTTCTGTGCTCCAGTTTTCCAACAGCACTCATAGTCACTTTCTCTCTGATAAAGGACACAGATAAATGCACACACGCTCCCATGCGCGCATGCACTTGGAAACATGGCCAGCCCTTTGAACAATTCTATTATGCCAAGTACCCAAAGAGCAGGGGAGAGAGGGCGCATCCATCCTCCATTTCGTTTTTCAATGCAGGCTTGTCACATACAGTGCTTTACCAGATACACGAAGACATAACTTTTCCCAGAACACTTTTTCTGCAAAGACCACTTCTTTCCAGAAAATGCCATGTTTATTTTATTTAAAAATAATTTACTATAAATTTACTCTTTGTTTTAGGGATTTTTCTGGTAGAACTGAAGAGTAGAAATAAGCTGTGGAAAAGACATCTGAAAATTTTTAAAAATTTATCTTAGTTTGACATTTACTCTCAAGGGTTCTCTAGGCAGGATTTTCACCAAAGAGAAATAAAGAAAAAGCAGGGTTATAAGATTCTACCTTCTCCTGGAGACCTGAAAAGCTGTTATTTTATTGTATAAGGAGCTGTCAAGCTATTAAAAATGTATTCCTGGATATTATAATAAAAATGGAGGCCAGATTAGGTAGAGAGGGAGACAGTCCCGCTGAACGGTACCTCGCAGAGTTCGCAAACAGCCTGTCCTTTTCATACTGCAAACACTTAGAAACACTGGGTACCACAAAGCCAGTGCTCTTTCCAAAGCAAGACTGCCCTTGAAGGAAAAGAGCCAGGGAACAGAAGGGTGGAACCAGAACAGGAGGCATGCTCTGACGCTGCTCTCGCTCTGGACAGGCGAGGGATTGTCCATTTTAATAACCCTTCCTCTGGGTTTCAGCTTCTCCCTCTATTGTGACAAGAACAGACTTAGGATCTTGAGAGGCCAGGGACTGAACTCAGAGCTTCTCCTAAAGCCAAGATCTTCAAAGGACAACACCATTCGTGAAAAGGCAGCCTAAATAACAAGCTGCTCACTGTTAAGTCAGTTCATACAACTTGATCTGGAGGGCTGGGGGTTGCTGGGTGGTGGCCAAAGAGCAGAGTGTGGTGGCTGAGGCAGGAGGACTGCCATGGGTTGGAGCCTAGTTTGGGTTACCGAGTAGATTCTAGAACAGCCTGACTATAGAGTGAACCCCTGTCTGAAAAACAAAAACAAAAAATCCCCAAACCACCAAAACAAAAGTCGCAGCTTGCTAACAGAGGTAGTCTCTGGAGCCCTGGCCACAGACCCACCTCTTCTAGCTTTCCTTCCAGTTGCTTTCTAGAAAGCAGCCATTCTGTATGAGCTTCCCTGTATGTGTTAAACTAAGTGGACAATGACTGCTCTCAAAGTTTAGCCAGGGCCTCTGGGTAACTCTTAAACTCGCTCTCTGACAAATTCCTCTCCTAAAGTCTTGTACAACCTAAGTACTTGAGCTATCCGAGGGAGTTCAGCTGACTAAATGTCAGTTTCCAGTGCACCCGGTTCTGTCTTTTGAAAACTGCTGTCCTTCCCCTTTTCAACAGTGAACCACCGATTTGGTATCTCCAGGACTTTCAGGAATTTAAAACACTCGAGGAAGCAGTCCACTCTGGTTAAGAGTCACAGAGGGGTTAGATGTCCCAAAGCACGGATAACTGGATGATCTGATAAAAACAGCAGGTGGTTAGTATCGGCAAGGCCACTGTGACGGAGGCTGGGCTGTAATCTTGACTCTGTCAGGTCTGCGTTTTCCCTCAGCATGTTTCCGCTCACACTGATCACTCTTCTTCCACACACTTCCAACTTCTTCAGTCCTTCCCACTCTTTGAACCTCCCCTGGAAGGTGTCCCTTAATTGCTCTGTCAGAGGTGACTCTATTAGCTTGCCATACCTCTTAGAATAGCTTTCACATTTTGCCTTGTGTAGGAACATGGCCGCCTTACACAGCCACAGAGTCAGCCCAAGTGCTATCTTTGGTCGTCAAATGGCACGCTGGACAAAAGGCCACAGTAGACTAGCCAGTGAACCACACCAGAATCCTTCATGTCCTAAAGGCCAAAGTCTAGAGGCTAACCACTCTGACCATAATCACTGGCATATTAATTTCATGCTATAATGTGTCAATTGCTTGGATATTCTATTTTATTTTTATTTTCTCAGGCATATTCTATGACAGAGAATATTATTTCCATTTTATAGGAAAGAAGTCCAGAGAGATCTCAGTTAATACCACAAGTTCTGGGCATGCTAGAGCACATCTACAGGCAAATTCTTAGAACATGAGGCCTTGGATTTGAGGCCCAGCACCCCAGAAAGAAAGATTTCAATTAAACAGAAACAGATTCTTTTTAAGTTTAACAGGAGGCTCTTTTCACTGTCCTGAATTATCTTTTTAAAGTACCGACCTCATCAAATTTTAGGACTGTTCCTACCTAAACTGACTTTCCTAAGAGAACATACCTGCCATTCATCAGCACCAAAACAGAGCGGTTGTTGACTTGCTTGTCACTTTGGTGTCTTTTCTAAAATCACACAGAACATGTTCAGGAAATAGACACATGGAAGACTGCATGTACAATTTAAAAGTTTAAAATAGTTCCCACTACAGTTCTTGTTTGTGATTCCCCCTTCCATATCCCAAAGCCCCCCCCCCCCACCATTAAAACTGGGCTAAGAGGCTAATTTCAATGGAGGCTTGGAAGGAAGGTATAAAAAGAACTAGGGAAACGAAAGAGACACAATCTTTGTGCTAAAAGTATGTGTGTGTGTGTGTGTGTGTGTGTGTGTGTGTGTGTGTGTGTGTGTGTATGTGTGTGTGTGTATGTGTGTGTGT